CTACAACCCATGTCTAAGCAAAAGCTTGTCGAGGAGCGAGGGGAAGAAGGGAGTGTGTACGAATCGCAAAATAACGCAATATCGGGTCGAATAGAATAAAATCGTGCAATATTATTAATTTCAGATAGAGCGGGACGATCGGAGCTGTGATCCGAGCTGTAGTCCCGAAAACGCTAATGTGAGCGAAAAGTGGCCGGGGACGATAGTCTCCTTGCCGCTCCTACCTCTCTACCCTTAGGCACAACAGAAGCAGCAGAAGTAACCCAATTACTACCATCATCATGGACCCAGAGGAAGTTGCTGTTTGGCAGCACATAGCAGACCAATGACATCCCGAGACGGCTCCACGTGTTGTCTGGGATGAGCTGCTGGCCATCGCGAACTCCACGCCAGACCAACTTCCCGACGCCACGGCTGCTGCAGCCCGGGCGGTAGGACAGCGCTACTGCCAACACGGGGCAGCAGAGCCGCAGCCCCTACCCGAGATCAGGACTTGCGGAAGGAAGACCGCGGCGTAGCAGCACCCCGGTCTCTGCGGGAAACATCACTCTCGCTGTGTCGGGGCGGTCGACTTTGCCAAGGCAGCCGAGAGGAGCTCGGGAGGCGCGGTCACAACGAAGCGTCTACGGAATCAAGTGAGTCGCGAAAGTGCCACCCACGATGAGTGTATGTTGCCTGAAGCTGGCTGGCTGGCTCTAGCCCCAACACGTATGCATAGCAGGAGCATGTCTTTCATGTGAGGATTCTGTATACATTGGAATAGTCTCGTGCATGTAGCTCGTGTCTTCGCGCGCCCCAACATGTAGACATGTACATTTACAGATATGGTATATGCATATCCATATCCATTCCATACTTGTATGCATACAATTCTTTTCTATGTAGCATATTCTCATCTTGCTACAAGAGGAAGCAATGTTCGCTGTAGGTACAGTAGTACATGCTCGAAATCAACACATGCTGCATGCTGTGACGGTTGCAGGCGTGCCCATGGCAGCTGCTGTAGGATGCAAGGACGGCGATACACATGTGTGCGTTGAGCAGTGCTTCATTTGTCTAGACTGGGTAAATGTAAGTCACTTTCGAACTTCAACGAAAATGCGGTATGTCGTGAATCAACGCAGCTGCGAGAGCGAAGTCATGGCCACATGAAGTGAAAAGGAGACGTCGGCGAGTCTACCCCCAACCCTATCAGAATGCTCAAGCAATGCTGCCGAAACACATACATATGGTGCCCAACACGTCGATATTCCGGGGCATGCCAAGAGATAGGGTGATATCTTCCGTATCACGGCGTATCACGGAACGGGGAGAGTACGTCGTAGTCACGAAGCTTTCAAAGTAACGCGGTTGTCGAGGGACCGAAAATATCCTCGATGTATTCCGGAAGGAGGAACGTCCACATTGCGTGTACCCGTCCGTCTCTCACAGGCTATCGATGCTATCGTTCGTTAGCTCTCCGTTTCCCCCAAAGAACTGGAGTACACTCTGTAACCGACAACCCGACTTCCATGTTTTTTCCCTGTCCACAACGTGCAGGCTTCGTCCGACACGAGCATTCAGATGAATGCAAGGGGTCGTGGCGTGCAGATCACGAGGAGTGACTGCTTCACGCAGGCGTGCCGCGCGGTGTGGCCGGGGGATGAACCCGTGCCAGCGGCCATTTCGGACGCCTTCCTGTCGTGATATTTGAGGGTGTACGATAGGCTGCTCATGGGGCGTGAGGGATGGGGTGTGTGCTGGACGACGTCTTGCTCACGAGGATTTGGAAGATTTGCGCGCCGATATGCATGTACATGCCGTGATTTTTTTTTATGGCTGGTTGGTTCCGGATCGAGCAGACCGTCGAGGATTGTGCGTGGTTTGCCGGGCGTCTTGTCTCCGCATGTTGTTGAGTTCGCGGGGCTAATTTCGACAAATGGTGTCGGCAAGGCACGCGTCGTTGAGAGTGGCGGTGGTGCATTCTACAAATAGCATTGGCAAAGAGCATTGGCTCATTTTGAAGTCACACCCGTAGGAGGGTGTAGGCATGTGTATATCGAGGTCAGCGTGGTGTGGGAACGAAGACAACAAAAAAAAAACTTCTACGTACGCATGGCTCCCTCGCGTGGAGGGAGCGCCTTATTCGCACAATTGGATTTCGATGGCGCTCGCGGTCTCCGAAATCCTCGTGTATTGAGATACCATCGGTGTATTGCGACACCATCGGTATGGCGTGTGTGTCACGTTGTTTCGCGAAAGAAAAATCGCACGCGGCCAGAAAAAGGAATGTGTCAGATACTCGTTTCGTAGATGCGAAACACCTCTTGCGATGCTATCTGCAACTCTTGCAAACTCTTGCCTCTATGGCCACCGTGGCTGTCAACCAAACCTCTGATACTGGCGACAACCCAAGGCCGACATGTAGTTAGGTTGTTGACAAAAAAAACATACGTGTGGACGTCAAAATATGTCCCTGTAAACAAACAACACAAACAAAAGTACATCAGGCAACACTGAATGAAAGCCTGCCAGGGGACATAAAGTTCACAATTGAAAAGTAGTACCTCCCAACAGGTGCCCCACAACAAACGCTCCGCTGCATATATCTCGGCAGATACGTAGGACCCCAAGGAACAAGCGCTTTCAGAAGCACGACGAGGCCTGAACTTTGTCCGTCCAACAACGGGGAAAGGGGGACACGCCGACAAGGTTGGTTATGTCGAAACGATCATCCATAGCCTGGACGACATTTGTCTGACCGCAACGCGTAGGGCCGTGGTAAAACCAAAGAAAGGTCGGGAAACAACCGAATGTTCTAACACCAAAAGACAAGTCACACCACAATACCACTGCTGTTATCAGCAACACAGGTTAACGACGAAGGCACGAAGACTATCACTCGTCCGCCGTTGTTTTCAAGAAAACACAGGTGGACGATAAAGGCACAACAAATCCCTAGCGGAAGGGAAGATGGTTGATGGACGACACTAATATGCACTTGTAGGATCAGTTTGACCCCCAGGCAAATCACAACGGAGCACCCTCGAAACACATCCGCGTCTCCTCCGCCAGGAACACTTGCCACATTCAACGTAAAACGTTAGGCAAAAAAAAAATGCGCTCGNCGTTGTTTTCAAGAAAACACAGGTGGACGATAAAGGCACAACAAATCCCTAGCGGAAGGGAAGATGGTTGATGGACGACACTAATATGCACTTGTAGGATCAGTTTGACCCCCAGGCAAATCACAACGGAGCACCCTCGAAACACATCCGCGTCTCCTCCGCCAGGAACACTTGCCACATTCAACGTAAAACGTTAGGCAAAAAAAAAATGCGCTCGCGACCACCAGACGAGATCCTTGCGTCCCACCACCCCGTACTTCTGGGGGTTCCGTTGAGCATCTCCGGCCCTAGCGTGCTTCACAGGGTTGTTGAAGCATGCCTGGCACATCAAAACACCCCGGTCCCCTGCCTGTTTGCCAACACAAAGCTCCGCGCAGGCACATCCTTTCGATGTCTTACTCTTGCATCCGGGGTGCATGCATTTGCGTTGAGTCTTCACCGAAATGCTCCCCCACACTTTGTCCGGGGCCCCCGTCACCGCCGCCGGTCTACCCCCCTTGTTCGGTCTACCAACATTGCACCTCGCCATGAGCTCCGTCGACAACATTTCGTCCCAGACCGCCCTCTCCATCTTCGCCAACCTGCCCAGTTCGACCAACACCCTATCCAACTTCTCCACCACCTCAAGCTCTAGGCCCCCTCCCTTGATCCTCTTGTTGGCCTGATCCTCCAAGAGGGACACGTACTTTTTGAACATCACCACAATGTTGGTGAACCTCCGCTCAAACTTGCCCTCAATCACTCGTCGCCAGTGGTTCGTGTACGACTTGTGGTCATGGGTGTGGGACACATTCTGCTGGTCAGCCGTCTCTACTCCCCCCATGTTGGCAACATAATCCTTGCGCATCCACGGCTGCTGTAGCTCCAAGCTTTTCCCAGCCTGACCAGCTTTGCGCAGACTGAACATGAACGGATGGGGACGGGATGGTAGGGGACAGACGAAGCACCTGGGTTAGGCAACACACTTTCCACAGCAGGAACCACGCACTGGAAAGGGGGCGTCAGGCCCTATCAATAAAACAATACACAAGCCCCGAGTACCTTCCCGACCGGTGGAAGCAACGTGTGTGATGAACCGAATAAGAAAGGCACCAACGCGAATCGCTTCATGTTGTCAAGCACGAAACCGAGGACTCCATCACACGACGAACCAGTTTACCGACGGCTACACGAGCGAAACACCCGACACAGCGATCGACATGAATCTAGGGAACAACGAAAATGAAAGGTTACCTGTACGGTAGAGGTGCGAAGTGGTCATCGCCGCCGTCGCTGTCCTCCTTCTTGGGCTCCCCGATGGCGGCGTGAGGTTGGGCGATGTGGATGGAGCTGCACAGAATGATTTCCTTCGAGTCTAGCCACTGCACGAATGCGACATTGCCGGCGCGGGCAAAGTGCATCTCTCCCCTTTCGACGGGGCGGCGATCGAGGCTCTGCAAGTAAGGCACGGCACCACCCGTTCGGTTTGACCGGCACGTACCCACCGCGAAGATGTCGTGGCTCGCGAGACACTCGAATAGGGTCGGGCTTGTGAAGTAGTTGTCCATTGCGATGTACACGCCAGAGCCGTCGATCTTGTCACCGAACTTCTTGCAGGCGCCGAGTAGGACATGTAGGACGTGGCGAGTGGTCCGCCCCAGTGGGCAGTCGAACCAAACCCTCAGCTTCGGGTCCCCATTCATTCCACCGTCGACGCTGCTGACGAAACAATACCGCTCGATGTCGCAGATCGCGAACAGCTTCATGCCTGGGTTTTCAACACCATGAGTAGAGAAGGACGATGGAACAAAATATCAAGGCGGCGCGCCAAGAGCGCACGCGTGAATTGAGCGTTTGCACTCAATGAGAGGATGCAAGCTCGATCGACTTTCGGACAGATAACGACGAGACGGTTCCAGTGGCCCCCTTGCTGGGCAACGCAATTGCTTTCGCAGTGGAACAAANTTGAGACCTATGCATCCCCGAGGGGATGCCGCAACGTTCCGCTAAAAATGGCATCACTGGGACCGAACATGCAATCTGAATGCCACAGAATGGACACGTCGCGAGTGTGGACGATGGAGTGCGAGGTTTACTGATGAGCGTGTGTATGTGTCGTTTCTTCATTGGTGAACACTACTACCATTCATCCCTCCCCAGATAATTTGGAGTTACCAAGTATTTGTCTTACATTGTCCACGCAAGGTGGGCGGGATCAACTAAGAGAACATAATTCCCACTACGTGAGGTTCTTCAACACCGAACATGATACAAGGTCTCGACACTGCTGTTCCGAGTGGTTTGTGCCCTGTTTTTGTTTTGTTTCCTCGCGGTGTCGCATGTGCCGGGTTTTTGCGACCACGCGCTCCCCATCCTTGTGGACTATAGAGAAAATGGGAGAAACAACAACAGCAGCAAACAATAACTACCTATCCACAGAGTCCTCCCAACGGATGTCCGGCACCAAAACAGGATCAGACTCGCTAGGGATAGCCTATACGACACCATACACGAAACCCGTACCGTGGGTGATGGGCTTCTTGGGGCTGTGTCTCATGAGGTAGTGCGCGAACGTCGACACGGTCTTCACCATCTGCTCATCGTAGCACAGCCACTGGTTGAAGTCCATGTTTTCCGTCCATGCGTTGTTCAAGATGTCTTCCAGCTCTCTGCCGGTGAAGCGACGTCAAGAAATGAAAGACAGAAATTTGCAAGGAGGTGTTGCGTTAGTTACAATGGTGTGAAAAATGTGTGGGACATCAATGGACATGCGAACGCACACCCTGTGATTTACACACTAACCACGCGAACCGTTGCTATGATAGTCCCAACCGTACGATGGTCCAGCCTCCAATATTCGACGCGGGGGGCGGATCGGGAGGACAATGATATCTACTTTTTGTTGCACGACATGCTGAACCCTTTTGGGTCTGGGAGCTACGTTCTTCGCCGGTCTGCCAGTCCCAGGTTCCGTTTCGACATTTTGTTTTTCACCACACAAAAGACAAAGGGGGGAGACAGTGCGGGAGAGAGGGAGAAGTGCAGGAATAAAGGCAAGCGTTTTTTTGTAGACGCCACAACTACCTCCACCTATTCGCTACTAGGGCAGCCCGCGACAGGGCATTGGCATCTCGTAGGGTCACCCAAGGGTTCTTGCGTTGCGGTGCTGCTGGCCTCCAACTCTCTTTTCAGTATTTCTAACCCTAAGCCCCGACCCATAAACTTGACTTTTGTACTTCTCTGTTACCCGCGAGTGTAAGCCACGCCGACTCTCTAGAGTTCCTTCTTTTCCCATTAACACACTACCACAACTCGAAGAACTTGCCAATACTCCAAGTGGAGGGATAGAGACGTCGGCAACTCCACGACTTGCTACCATACCAGCTGTTGGAAAAAAATCAATCAAATTACNTACAATCCCTGCAGCACGTTTGCGTGCTCATAACTGAACTTCACGCCCACACACTACAAATCGACTACAGCAGCAGCATCACCCCCCTTGTCCCGCATTTAACCAAAATGAATGTTTGTCGACTACAGCGTACTGCTGTCTGAAGTGCTGTCTGTACAATAATAACACCATGGTGCATGGAACACAAACTCGGGGCATGCAGCTGCTGTCTGAAGTGCCGTCAGAATGAGTCCGTGGACATACAATGAAGAACACCCAACCAGAGCCATCATTGCAATTGACAATCACCCGAATCTATCCAGATC